GTTCATCCATCCGGATGTATGGACGTCAGCGCTTTTGTTTTACAATGAGAACTGCAGTTATGATTATATTAATTATTAGAATGCCATCAAACCCTGCAAGTGGCTAAAATGGCAGTTACCTCCCTTTTTGTATGCATACACATTACGATGATCCCCGTCAGCTGTGTCATATCAAAGGCGTTTAAAATGGCACTTGAAGCTTCCCCCCCCTTGAAACATTAATACTGCAAGGAGCAAGGAACTGAACGGCCTGGAGTCAGTATAACGGTGTGGGTAGTGGGTTGGGTACATGTATTGAATCTGCCATGCGTGCCATGTACCTATGATATTATCTGCAAATGACTTGAGCTGTTGCGCGGATGTTAATCGACAATACAACACCACCCTTTTTTGGTCCAACTTTCAAGGTCACGGAATCAAAGGATTATTGCTTTGTGTTGCTCCTTTGTTATGTTGTTGCTAAGATATAGTTGCATTGATAAAAAATAGCTTCTTTTGTAGTCAAAATGCATCACAATATTTCTTAACATCAACATATCTTATTTGAAAAAATATTCGCTTTTTTTGGAAGGTCACAGGTTTTGGCTGTACCTTTTAGATTAAGAAGAAGAATTTACACGCGATCAAATTGTATATAATCTTATCATCTTTTAATGATCAACACTGCATAACATAACATCGCAATTTTGCATTCATGAAAACCTAGTCTCCTCACAGATCAAAGTGGAAGATACGATATAATCTGGCTAAATAATAAAACAAATTTTTCCATAACCATTCATGATCAACAAGATAGATGTGATTTTAAACTTACTGGTATATGCCAGCACAACATCCATATGTTTTGAAGGCAACAAGAACTTCAACGGGTTTCGAACTCAAAACCTAGGAGGTGATAGGCTACAACGATCACGGGGCGCAACGACCTAGACCGTTCGGCCACCAAAACCCCGGCCCCTCCAAACCTTGACGGGAACATACACCATTATAGTATATTATTGCTATATTGTCTTGTAATCGACACGCAGTGTACTTCCGTAACAGTATAAAAATTGTTACATTAGCGGTAATTTAAATACAACCACAACGCTTAGTGTAATAATTCATTTTGTATTACTCTAAGCGTAACAACTGCAACTCTTAATGTGATAAAGATAAGTTTATTACATTAAGCGTAACGGTCGCAACGCTTAATGTAACAATTATTACACTAGCGCCGTTATTACATTAAGAGTTGCGTCATTGGTGTGTTACTTACTGCGTAATTTTCATGACAAAACCAGAATTTTTAAATTTTGATTTTATTTATTAGGAAAGCATGGTTATTTATATACATATGGTTGTGGGCTATGTGCGCATGATGCCTGGAAATGAACAAAAAAGACAATATTTTCATGTTGTTGATTCATATGATAATATTCATAATAGATATGATCATTATGTCATACAAAGCACCAACACAGTAGCATTTGACGTGTACACGATATTGGTTAGATACATTTATGACTATAGGAACACGAAGGGAAGTAACTCTGGGAGAGCTATGTAATTGCCAAAATGATATCGGTAAAATGTATAAGAGTGAAAGATAACCAGAATATTATTTCACTTATCCAAGTAAAATTGAAATGAAATGTTTATTAAACATATACAATATAAAAGTCTTCACTAAAATGTTGAAGGCTTATAGAAAAACTTGATAAATTATTGAGTTAATTTCTGTATCAGGTTGTACTCCTTCTCTAAGTAATTTTGGAAACGTAAATTATCATTATTTACAGACAAAAAGTTGCAATTTTGAACATGCCATGTATCCTGTTATGTATATGTATGTGACCTCTTGTTAAACACGCGTGTCGGAGTGATTGAAGAAAACTTTGAAACCTTGAAACATATTACCAAATCCAAGCACTTGAATGTTCCATGATATCATACATTACAATTGTGCAGGTGTGCGGTATTTTCGAAGCTTTAGCAATATTACAAATTCATGTAATACAATTAATATATTTAACATCACAATGCTGTACAGCGTGTTAAAGTATAGCTGAGATATAATATCTTTTTCTCAAAGATCAATATTATTAACAATTTTGATATTTTTTTTAATCTAACACAAATATTTCAGGCCGAATCTGACCAAATAAACAAATAGATAAGTTAAATGAAGTAACTAAAAATTAAACCTTCCCACATTTCTTTCATCCTAACATATATATTACGTAAAAGACGTCCTTTAATGACAATGAAAGTTATGTAAGACTTAATAAGAACCCAAACCATTTACATGTTTATAGATATTTATAAGCTTGTCACTTGATCCAATGTTTGAAGGTTGATACTTTTTATACACTTTTGAAGTATATATACAAACTATACTGACATTTTGTTCGGGTGAATAACACTTGTCGGCTGAGTTGGTTGTAGAGATTCTGGAGCTACAAAGAAACTGACCAGTATACAAGGTAAATAGCAATGTTAAGCAGTCCCACTACGTACATGTAAATACTTATACAGGGCTTTATGTCTCACGAACAGCAGTAAACATTGCTTTTAGAAGTATAATGATGTTCAGCAAATACTTACAACTACTGTTACATAATGTACTGCTATAAGTGAAAGAGATGACTGATTGTTGGGCCCTTTTGCATTGGAGAGGGTTTCTCTGATGTCTTCTTTTCCGGTTCCCGTTTTCGAGACGGAAGTTATTTAAAAAGAAGTACAAATTGTTATTAAGTCGTATTCCATGTTTTCCAAGAGAGGATATCTTCATCAAAACGTGAGATTTTTATCTCTTTTCCCTGTCGGTTATTAAACTGGTAAGATTCTGTACCTGTTCTCCCTGCCGTCCTATAAACTATTCAAAGACTCGTTCATGCAATATGAACAGAGAACATCGCCAACAGTCCGTCACGTGATATAGAACCAGCTTTATTAACAATACCTGGATAGGTAAGGGGAATACACTGTAAATTAACAAAGAAAATGTAATGTAGATGTAAAAATGAATGTCAAATGGCAGTTTTGTCAAGGTGATGTTAATGATGTTGTTCTACACTCTTACTGTACAACAGTGTTACTGTTTAATCATCTAATCTTGTATAGACGACGACGACATACAAAAATACAGGTGAGAAAACGTGGTCCCCTGCCGATCTCCTCTTTTGAAAATGGAAAATTAAAGTGACGGAGGTGGAACTGCTGCCGCCATCATCGCACCATCTCGGATTTCGATATTTTTCTTTCTTTCCCGTCTTTTTCTCTCCGTGTTATTTTTTTCCAATTTTGATGTCACGCTTGACACTTTGCTCTATATGACACTAACTATGACGAGGAAGTTAGATATAACAAATGTTTACTCTCCGCATACATATGAACTAGAGATCAATGACCCCCGTACGTCAACTTAATCGTATCAAAGAAGGTCAGAGTGACAAAAAGTCATCCACTTCATGTTACGCAATAACAAGCGTAAACTCAAAGTACATATGACTTGGATATTTCATAACCTGTGGTGACTGTGACGCCAGACGCCTGATGCATCTGTAATAAAATCAACTGACCTGTGGACATTCTACATTACAAGTACCGTCAAGTTTTGTTTTGTTTTGATATTACATAAACGATCAAGGGTTACACTTAAAACACAACGAAATTTAATTCAAATATCGTCAGCAGGTGATACTTATCAGTGGTCATGTAAAATAGCATATAAAGTGTAACTTTCAATGGCTGACCTCATATCTAGAGTCATAGTTCTGCGGTGTCCTTTCTGGAAAGAGATATTGAAAAGACCGACTTATGGAATCTTGATTCATTCCTTATAGTTATCTAATCTGAACTCTTGACATCCGTCCTCATATGACCGTGTCTGTATATGCACTAAAGCTGTACATTATAACTGATCATATCTAATATAAAACATGTAATTTGTCAGAAAATCCTTATAATCGCGATAACAGATATTACAAAATTGTCTATTGTACGTCGATCTGATAGTCCACACGTTGAAACTGAATTTCCCAAAGATCCAGCTGATTGTGACATGCATCACTTTTTCATCATAATCAACGCTTAATAAACTGCTTTAATTCAACACGAAATAGGAAAATACTGTTTTTATTGAAAATTTTGCGCTATTTCAAATTTTGTATAAAAATAAAGTTAAATTTGTTATCATGTTATATAAGCTTCGTGCACCATAAAGAAGTTTATTATTGTACAAAACACATCGAAGTTCATATAAGTTTTTGCAGGCGCTTGTCGGCCATGAACGGCTACCAAATTTGTTAACATGAATGACCTTAATCAAGGTCACAGGGGTAGAATATTTTGAAATGATTTCCTCTCAATAAATAAAAGGCACAGGATGATGATATTGAACCAGGTGCATGCTGGGATAAAGTGCTACAAAGTTTTTTTTTCATATTATTGACCTTGACCTACTTTCAATTTAGAGTACGTATCAAGCAATTAATTAAACTGCCATCATACAACTGTTCGTCCTTCTAGGACTCGTCAGTAATAATACATCATACAGCTGCTTCGTCCTTCTCCGACTCGTCAGTGATGCTACATCATACAGCTGTTTCGTCCTTCTAGGACTCGTCAGTGATGATACACCATACAGCTGTTTCGTCCTTCTAGGGCCCGTCAGTGAAGAAAGTAGAGATTTCAAATATTTGTGTCACATCATCAATGATTTAACGAAATTCTTCAAGACACTCCATTAGATGGTGGTTTTCTTCTGTTACATAATATGGACATAGAGTTCACAATTGAGGACAACCTTACGCTAATGTATGCTTCTGCATAAACCAGGCATCTGGAATCATCTGACATTGAAAATTTAGAATAGAGGAGCATAATATACAGCTTTTTAGAGAAAGAATGAAATTGTTGATTTAACTGTCTTCCTGAATAGTTTCAATATCTATATCCACAGACATACATTTGACTGCACGTGGAAATAAATGTGACCTATACGTCAGTACTGTATCATGAGTTCTGTGAAGGTCAACGGGAAATACATTTGGGGTACGTATTTTTGTTCCATTCATTATGGAATTCGGCTTTAAACAAAGTTCATTCTGTGAGGTCATCTTGGCATTATATATCTATAAGAAAAGATGGTCATTTTATATGAAATTGGGAGTGTCTGTAACTCGGATAAAATCAGTCGTAAAGGCAGCACTTTAGAATTGAAGTTCTTATTGAAGTGAACAATATGATTATTAAATATATCAGTTTTGTAGAACTAACTTCAGATGGCGCTGATTAAGATCATGCTAAACGACTTACTGTAATCTGCTGAAAACGTATCTTTTATGCTTTTAATTTAAATTATTGTCTATTTTCTCAACTCTTTATTCATTAATTGAAAAAAAATTGTGTTCCCTTGCATTGTTTTCTACTTGATAAAAAATAAGGAAGTTCTGGGCGATCAAATTAGATACAGGCAAAATAAAAGTTTGGTTAATGTGAAAAAACATCGCTGTTGCTAAAGGCATTTTGAATACATTTCTAACTTCTTAAAGCGACTGCACAGTAGAACTATTTTTATATATATATATATATATATATATATCAAGTGCATCACCTTATGGACAGTGACAGTTTGTTTTCGCTGAAAAATGCACATAAAGAGGTTATTGTGTAATGATAAAAAGGAAAACATAATCTGTTGATCAACAGCCTGAATAGGGATTTTTTTTTTGTCATGTATGATAATGCATGCACGCAAAACACCGTCAAAAATGGCTTCCCACCTGAATCGGTCACAACAATGTTGGCGATTAATGTCACTTATTCCGTAATTCATAATTGACTCAGAGTTACCCAATAACATTTGCCACACACATAACAAAATCTGGTGCTGAAAAACAAGATTTTACTTACTATGTCACTTCTGTCGCTGTCATTTCTGTCTGCCAAGAGTCCTCTGTGAGCTCCTGATCTCTCATTACAATGCTGCAAGCTGTTTGTATTTTACAAAGTGAATTGCCTAGTTTTCAAAATTATTATGTAACGTTATCAACACTATATTTTAGAGTGGTTTCCCGAACCAATAAAAATGGTCAAGCTGGACATGGGGATGTGAATATCGGGATAGCATAGAATCGTAAATGTATGAAATATTTACAGTCAGTAACAAAATTGATGTTTTTACCGTGATTTCCCTTTACATCCATCTGCAAAATGAGCAAAATATTTTTTTTTAACTTTTCAAAATCCAAAATTGCTTTTTGTTTATCTTTATTTTGCAATTTGTAACGAGCAGTTCCTTACAAAGTTAACAAAACAGCTGTAATATCCATAATCGGATCCTAAAAATCAATGAAGTCATTCTCCAAGCGAGGATTCACGTAGTTCAAATTTGTTGTTTGTGGTCACGACTTGATCGCCACAAAATGTAGTTATCACGAAAATTATTATACTGAAAGTCATTTAATATTATGCCATGAATTATGCCATACTTGCGGTCAAACTTGGCATTTTGATACTTCCTCCGAATTAACTTTCTTCTCACATGAAATAATATCAAAATTGTATTTGATAGGTGATATAGCGGAGTCAGAGATAGTCAGACAGTATGACAGGAAAGGGCGCGAGGTGACATGCATCCAGATCAATGATATGTACCGCAGTTTGTACAACGTTAATGCTGGGCAGGTACCTGATCTAAGGGTAACTCTGAAACTCTTACAAGACATGCCCATGCGCGCGGATGACATCCTGATATGCGCTTACGTTAAAGCAGGTACCTGATATTAAAACATTGATTTGATGGTTATATTCCATCAACTATGTAAAAGATCATTTACAAACTAATTGGACATAGTGAAGTCGAATGATGAATTAGCTATACTCTTAACATAGTACAGTATATAGCTGTTTATACTAATTGGACATAGTGAAGTCGAATGATGAATTAGCTATAATGTTAACACAGTACAATATACAGCTGATTATACAACTTCTTATATAACTGTTTATACAACTGAATCGTCCTTTATAACAAGTGATAATTGGACCTGAATGTCGATTAATTCTTGATTTTGATGTTTTAATGTTTTTATTTTCTCTCATCAAACATATTTTCCATGTAATACTAGGTACACACTGGATGTGGGAAATAGTAAACATGCTTCTGAAGGGATCGGCAGAATACGACAAGACCGTCAAAGAGGAAAATATGCTCGATTTTCACTTTCCGTCAGAATTCGACGACCTCAAAAGCCCACGTGTTTTTAACTCACATTTCACGTGGCGCCATCTACCAAGAGAAGTCCACGAAAAGAAGTGCAAAATCATCTTTCTACAGAGAAATCCAAAAGATACTGCAGTGTCTTACTTCCATCACATGAAGAACATCGGAATATACGGTATCGAAGGTGACTGTGGGGATTTTATAGACCTGTTCATGAAGGGTAAAGGTGAGTAACATCAAAAAGGTGGGGAAAACTCGCAGACTGTCGAGTCTAATATAGTCTCAGAACTCTCCTGGAGTAGTCTTAGTCTGTTGTACATGTTGAACGTATGATGACTATTATGAGACTTTTGTTATAATTAATGAAATTTTACAGGTAAACATATAGTACAATATGGTTATTTCGCTTAGAAAATAATGAGATCCCTTCTTAATTGGAAAATACCTCAAAATGTAGTCTGGACTGATTTAACATTTTATCGGCTTGGAAAACTCGCAGATTGTCGAGTGTAATATAGTCTCAGAACTCTCCTGGAGTAGTCTTAGTCTGTTGTACATGTTGAACGTATGATAACTATTATGAGACTTTTGTTATAATTAATGAAATTTTACAGGTAAACATATAGTACAATATGGTTATTTCGCTTAGAAAATAATGAGATCCCTTCTTAATTGGAAAATACCTCAAAATGTAGTCTGGACTGATTTAACATTTTATCGGCTTGGAAAATGCACTTGCTGGCAACTGCAAAATGACACACGTCTATGTAGTTACATTACAGTACTAGGATATATAGTTATATTTTTACTGGTATTTTTAATTCTTGTAGCTTTGCAACAATTTAGGCCGAAGAAAGGCTATGTCGGTGGGTTATAGGGCAACCTCATAGCCTTCAAGTGACATAATTTGTATCAAATAAAGTCAATTTATCAAATACGTCTCAAAGACCTACCATCTAAGAGTTCAGTGGCAGTAACTCATGTGTTTTCCACAGAAGTTTGTGTGATGATATATTTATAGGGCCTGGGTACAAATGCTGGTTTGACTACACGCTTGAGTGGCAACAATTCAAAGAGGATACAGCACACCAAGTTCCAATATTGTCTCTAATGTATGAGGACCTCAAACGGGTACGTACATGTTAAATTGTTAAGGAAATCTCTCTCTTTGTTCTACTGCAGTCTTAATCAGAGAAAGTTAGAATAATATTCACATGTTTTAAAAGAACGGTTGGTAGCAATGAGTCAATTATGAAACAACACATTTCAGGACCCAGTTTCCCAGATACAAAAAGTAGCGGAATTCCTCAAGGTTCCAGTCGACACACAACTTATCGCCGCGATAGCAGAAAAATGTGAATTCAAAAACATGCAAAAAGCTGGGCATGACAAAAACGAAGTACATCAATCTATATCCAATTACCACATGTTCTACAGAAAAGGTAGGTTCACAATAGCTCGTGCCAAGCTAACACAGATAAGGCGGGGGATCTCATTATATACAGAAGTACGAAGATCTCACGTTTGGAAACCTAAAGTATAGTTATCGCAAATCATAAGTAGAAGTTTCATCGCAGGCTGGATACTTTAAGTGGCATGTGCTCTTCAAAATAGCAATATGACAGGAGGGTTGTTTTTTATCTATCTATAGATCTCAGTTTAGCTTTAAAAATATGTCACCTGACACAATACCGTGATAATTATTGAACATTTTCATACCTAACTACTAAAAAAAATATTGTCACTTTGTTGTACATTGGGGTATATAACGCGGAGAAGTTTCAAATTCTTCGAATCAAACAATGTGTTAATGAGTAAAGATGGATATGAATTAGCGTCAGATCCTTTGAACAACAGAAAGTATTTCGTTGAATAGGACATGTACAACATCAAGCTAGCCCTGTAGGAGGCGATTAAGTGTGAAATGTAGAATAGAAGCTTTTCTTCGTCTACTGAGAGGATATTGAGAGTATATCTACTACCCTTATTTTAACACCTGTCTACTCCTTTCGTGTTTTATCCACTCTTGGCGTTCCTCTTTACACTCATCCTCAAATGACTAAAGAAGTACTGCATGGCGGTAGCATGGTGTATATTTAAGCGGAATTCTTTCAGACATGATGTGTATAATTCTTTCTTTTCCTCCACCGATTGAGGGGGTCTATTGGTCTAAGGCTGGTCTGCTGGACTCCACTCCACATTTGAACGACAGAGAATGTCATTTTTCCACCTTTTTATTCCCTCGCGACTTATTGTTAAAGTGATATAGGGATGTCACCGTACTGTCATTGTCGCATGCAACGCCCGATTTGTCAGGCATATAGCGGCATCATTCTTGAATGAGTTTTGATACTTTACACACTTTCAGATAAATATTCCTTTAAATTTGAGGAGGCTAATTTGTAGAAATAAAACCAAGGAGACGATTACTATTTCAAGTAAATCCTTGTCTATAAAGGACCATAATATCTCGTTCAAGTTCCAGTGTCAGGGTTGTAGGGTCGTGGTCGGAAATGTAGGTATCGCAAAAACAACCGATTTTACAGTAGTATGTGGCGATTTGTTTTCTTTGGAACAAAACAGTGGAAGTATAAAATGAATTGTACTAACCGTACTTTTGGTCTAAGCGCTAATCGTGACTGGGAAAGGAATTACATCCTAAAAGTTATACCGGCAATAGTTTTTTGTGACGGTGCTAACGTTCAACATTCATATTGAGGATAGTATATGTATGTGGAGTTTTGTATACTTTGCTAACGTTTACTTCAGGTCAGATAGGAGACTGGAAAAACTGGTTTACGGTGACCCAGAGTGAAGAATTCGACGAACTAATGAAGCAAAGAATGGGAAAATGTAAAACGAAGTTTGTTTATGAATAGCTTAAAATGGTAATGTTATTAAGGTACGAGAGAGGTGTTGATGACTTTTTTGTTGGTACGTAAAAAGAACAATGAACAAATATTTACGTAGAATTCAGAGGAGTGAGAGTTGTATAAGTTGTCATGGACATCAGGTATTCGTTTGTGATGTTTGTTGTTTATGAGAATCAATATATCCGGGATGAAGTTGACACCAAATCCCCTAACAAAGAAATAACACGTTTCACTGTAAAATATTTAATCATAAAATGCACAAATATAATAATAACATTGTCATATTCAAACAAAACTGCTCTGATTCATGCAATGACATTGATTCATTCAGCAGGATTCCATGTAAACACATTCCAAAATACAAATCTTTAACCAATATACCATGTAATTGAATTTTTAAAAAATCAATTATAACATCTCCATGTTTATTAAACACGTATAAAACAATGATGAGTCCCAACATATTACATTATACAAACACCTGTGCATCTGGCGTAAGTTATGTATTGGTCAGCAAAGATTTTCATTCTTTGAATTGATTTACGGCCAGTTACTTCTGGAGTCATGTAGGGACAAGAATGTAATAGCTGGATATAAATAAGTTTATTGTGATTTTATGGATAATAATAAACAGAGTATTTTCTTGTTAATATTTATCGTTATAATTTCTATTGATATTAAATCTCCAATAATATCTGTGTATTGTTGTTTTTTAAGCTTTCATTTCGAATTACATAAAAAATAACAGTTCCCCTGTGTTTCGGGTCTTCAAATGTCTCATTCTAGTGAACTGAAATATGATGTTGATGTTAGGTTTGACATCACTGTGATAATGATGACGTTGGATATTCATGAACATTATGTTTCACTAATGACGTAATGTGTTACGCTAATCTAATAGTGCAAACTCCAAATACAATTTGTCTATGGCGACATTCAGATTGAGATTAGTAGCGGACTTCTAGTTGCCTTTAAGAGATATACAATTAATATCTATCATAATGATTTTTATCATTGTTAGTCATATTTTCCATTCTCCATTTTAAACACCAGAAGTTATGATGCTATTACTATCTAGATATTTAGAGGCATCCATGCATACTTTCCTGTTGTTTTGTCCTTGATTTTTTATTATTTGCCTGTTGTGTTTAGATCTCTAGTATAAAAACATTTTGAAATGAAAAAAATAACAATGATTTCCATAGGATAACCTGAGTATTTACATTTACAAACTAACACTTTTATTGCTTTATTTGACGTTCACAGACCCTTGAGCTGACGCCGGAGAATTTTGCCACTTGCGGTTTTAGGAATAGCATTCACAAACTTCACTCCCCCTCTCAGTCTTTTGTAATGTGTAACATTTTCTGCAATGAAGATAAGTACATTTTGTTACTAATACAAAACATTTCAAATGTTCTTTTTGGCTGTAAAATGATTATCAATATAACTGACCGGTTAATCCATAGTAACTACATCAAAGACATGGCATAATCCAGTTACTTTCATAAAATACTTCCCATGACCTTAATGTACAAGTGTTCTATCTAAAATAGAACCAAACAGATTATTCATCGATAGCAAAACACTTTAAACGGCTGTTACCTTCTACAAACTTAGTGACATCTCCCTCCTCGAGCTGGGTGTTGGGTTTGGTGACGACAAAGGCGCGAGGGATCTCGCCCACGTCCTCCCCGGCCTCTATTCCAATCACTGCAGCGTCTTGCACATTCGGATGTGTCAGTAATAATGCTTCTAACTCAGCTGGAGGGACCTGTGAAAGAAAACGTAATTTCGAGTGACTGTGTTGATGTGTGTTTGGTAGGTTTAACAGTTACGACATGTGTTACCATCTCCTTTAAGGGGAACCTTCAATTTTGGTTCCAAACATGGGCAGAACAATAAACTACAAAATAATCTGACGTAATTTGTAAATCCCTGCTGATACTAAGTTACCGGAAATTTTCACAAGGAAGTAAAATAATGCCTAGGTTAAATGTTCATGCGTAACGCAAAGGTTCTATTTCATATCCAACGCCTTCGTAAAAACTGATTTAATATGAATGCCTAATTACGTACCACGAGTAGAACAAACCATGTTTACCTGAAAGCCTTTATACTTGATAAGTTCTTTAAGTCGTTCTGTGATAGATATGTAGCCTTCGTGATCGTAGTGCCCAATGTCACCTGTAGGAGACATATTTAGAATGTATCATATCTATGCAAGCATAATCCGATGTGATGTCATATAAAGAAAACGCTACGTCATGAATCCAATGTGATGCAGCAAAACAACTGCCTCTTTAATTTTGTTTTTCACATTTTAATTATAACACCTGTCATAATGTTACTTTTCAAACTAAGCGATAACGTATCTTGAATTCTTTTCATTTCATGATATTTTCTGTGAACTTGAAATTTCTTTAATATTCTATACTTATAACAAAGCAAGTATGACATGAAATGACTGAACTGACCAAGAACAAAATATTTCTCGTTTTAGTTCATACTTGTCATAGGATTTACTGAAATCGAAGCTGAAGTTACTTCCCTTATTTGCAGTACAGTGTACATACATTAAACCGTCCCAGAAAAACACAATTTGCAAAATTGATATATACCACAGGCCACTGTAATATTAAAGACGTTTAACCTTTTTGAGTTCGTGCAGATTTTAACAATCTGATCTTTTATCTTGTTTCCTATCGCTACAACTTTGTTGGTGTCCTATAAAGCATTTAAAAAGAAAAGCTCTTAAAAACACTTTTATTTTGTTTTGAAACCAGATTAGATTGCCTTTATTATGTACATGTTTGAAAATGAAAGAATTCGAAACAGCTAAGAAAAATATTAAAATATGATCAAAATAAATTTTCACCATTTTTTTACAAAAAACATGAAACTCCATTATCGTAATGGTGAAATGTTGTGGAAAATCTCCCCATGGAAATTTGAAGCCAACACAGCGTCACTACATTTAAATACATTTCCTGCAAACAGAAGCATGACACTCAAACCAGCTCTCACAGTCACTCATTTAAACAAAACACAATGAGATTTATTCCTCATTAAGGCCAACTGTAAGGTATTGCCAATTGCATCTTCATCACAAGAAAGGGCAATATGAGTACGGATCAAATGCCCAGCTGATGTCTTTTTGCTCACATTTCTAATTTCGGATTTTTGTCCTATGAAATATGATATTGATTTTGTTTATGAATTCAAGAGGTTTTTCATGTTTTATATGAAAAAAAACTTCCAGCTTTCTTTTCTTTATAATTGTTATTAAGTTATATTAGTAAATTACAATAGCTGTAAGTACCTCCATATTAAGTTTCTGTGTTTATGAATTCGAGGACAAAATATACTTGAAAACGTTCAGGAATGGGAGGCGTCTTCTCCTTCATCAATCACACCAGCCATGTAAATCTTGGTCAATACAAGTAAGCAATGTCACTCTAAGAAATATATAATATCAAAGAAATGCAAATGCGTTTCCACCAGGAAATGGAATAATTCCCAATACCATTATGACAACCGTAAAACTTTCCCATGGTCTTAATCAACATGCATATACAGAAACACTATGTTGTGTGAAAGTTTGTCAATTGTCGATATTTGGACGAAATTTTGATAGTAGGTATAAGCCATTGAATATCGAATTAGCGACATGTTTATATATGTACTATAGGTCAAAAATACAAGGTTGTAGCCTTCCAGAAATTGAAAATTCACAACAATTTCCTTTCGTTGTAGGAAAAGAGTCCTTGTCTTGTCCTTGAATTCCAATATTTTTGGGTTAATACCTCGGGCATTGTTTTTCATTTACTGACAAGACATAATCAATATATATGAAAGCGAAAGTCAAGTACACCGCAAGGTCTTTGTGACTAGTTTTGATAAATTCAGCATAGTTTGAAATCAAAAACAAGATAGCCATCAGCGAAGCACAGCTTTCTCCCATAGGTATGACAAACGTATCTGTATGGTATGTTATTACCGTCGTGTTTTGAATTTTCTATGCACCATCAACTTTACCTTTGTGTTACCAGATGCAGTGTGACGTCACACATGACTGTATGATAATAGCTCCATGTAATGCGTTATATGAGTGACGTCAGACATACCTGTATGTAGCCAGTTGTCACGTATTGTACTTTCTGTGGCCTCTCGGTTGTTGAGATAACCTTTCATGACTTGAGGTCCCCGGACCAATAACTCGCCTGCCTCCCCAGGACCGAGACAAGCCCCGCTGTCAACATCTATTATCTAAAAGGAACATCATTTAAGAAATAGTACAAGTGCATCTGTGAAACTATATCTACAGCTTTGTTAGTATCATCGCAAAAGCTAAGGCCTGGAAGTGTATACAGATAATGTGTGACTATTGCCAGGCTCTGTTAAAATTTTATCACACCGACATGTAGTAATGTAGACAAAAACAACTAAAAATAGAATCTCAATTCAATCACAAATTCGTTGAAACTGTGGCAAAATAGGAAGAAACGAAAAATTAACGGGTTAAGTGTTACTGAGAAGTAAACGCTGTCTGCTTCCTCGACAACACTTGCCATGGAGTAATGTCACGTTCTCAAATTAGAACAAATGAATAATCTTGCGTACTAACTAGCATCAAACAAGCCAGCTTCATATCGCTCAAAGAAACAGAATATTTTTAATGAGATCATTATGATGTCGGCAAATATTAATCTTCATCACCCTGCATCTTCTCCCTAAAATATCGTCTGTGACGTGAAAAATTAAAAACAGGGAAATTAAAACCATCAATCTTATCATACAGCTTGATGTAAAGCTGTTTCCGAAATCGCATACAACATGATGGACTGATCGCCACAAGCATTTTGAGTAAAATCTACATCTTTAACATGTTATTGGGAACAGGCCCTAAAATATCGAATCAACTGCGACATGTAATAGAAAAGATGGATGATGCAATGATATGCTATTTACCTTCAAATCTGGAAACAACCTATAGAATTTTTGCAGATATGGAAAACGCTGGAGTTAAAGTTTTATCGGAAAAGAGAGACTGTGATAACACGGGGGAAATATTTATGTCAACTTTGACATCGATTTCTACATAAATAGTTTTCATATAAACATTGTACTATAGAACCTGGTCATCTTGTCAGGAGCAGACATATATGATACACTTAACGTACTAAATGCACTACGTGATGTATCATGATTATTACTATTTGTACAAAAAGTACTATCGTGACGAAGCATATTCCTAACAGCTCTGATGTAAACAGACTAATTTTGTAACTAATAACACACCTTTGCCTGCGTACTAGGCATCAGTTGTCCAATGGTTCCAAGTTTAGGTGGCACTTTGTCCATCAGGATAAGAGGACTTGTCTCTGTTAAGCCGTATGCTGAAACACAAATATATGTTTTCTGTTATTGTATAAAACTGTCAACCGTTGAATGATTACCATTTCCAAGAGGTCTTCTTATTTGGAATATTAATAGAAACCAGTCGTTCATTTCAAACCGCAGCACGATTTCTCCAGAAAACGAGAATTTGTTTTATTAGTTTAGGATTTTATGTGCACCGAATGTGCAATATTGTAAACATGACTCCTTAAGAAGTAGGAGTTATTAACACGTACTACGGAAGCTTGAACAATGATTCAGTCAGGAGATACTGAGAAATGTATTAACTTTTCTAATATAACATATGTACCTCACTGGGACGCGAGTCATTAGAGCAGCAGGGTCAACAACATCGTCTATAATTAGATTGTGTATATATGTTACAAGCCCAAAAATAGTTTGCACTTTTCAGATACCTCAGGTGTGTGGCGTGTGTACTCACAGTTACCATAGCTATTTATAATGTTATAGTGTAAGGTCAGCTGTCTGTGAAATTCCCTGATGATATTGTTTTGCCATTATATGTTTCAATTGCATTTTACATGTGAACAGAGAATATGAGTTTACAACTTACAACTTCCTCTTTTTCTTCGTCAAAACTTGAGGATTTGTCAAAATGAAACCTTTTTATTACTGGCCTCTTGTTCGAAAATGTTATAGAAGAAAAATTACAGATTGCATTTAAAGTGTTGTTAAAGTGTTACTTCCATCGTTATCTTATATGTTGTAGCTATAGCGATTAGAAACTCTTTAGGAATGGAGGCGATTTTAGACACATCATTGGCAAACAACACTCTCAACATTGTGATGTTTTTCCTCCTATGTCTCCGACTGCAGCAGAAAAGGTTCCTGTAAATTGATATTTTACCCCATGATCCCTCATTCATGAAAGAGCAAGAAGTGAGGAGTATGCGATAGAGTGTATCTGAGAGTTAGTTCAGTTAAGTCATTTTTTTATTATGAGAATATTTGTAGAAGTTGAAGACTGTTGAAATGTTTGATTATTCTTCTTTCTGGCGTATTTGCCGACTGTTAGTCAATTGTCCCCAAATCTTGTGGTAAATTGACGAAAATTGAGGCTTTTGTACTCTAGCACATCATATTCAAAAAAGGAAATACTTCCTCCTTTATCCCGTATTATACTGAAAGTTTGAGTGGTAGGCCTATTTGTAGTGCAAAAGTACTACAATGCACACGTCTTGTCAGTTATAATGACATGAATTTACCTTGTACAACGTGACAGTTAAGCCGAGAAGAGACTTCCTCTGTAAGGCCCTCCCCCAGAGGTGCAGCACCACACATAATCCTCCGAATACTGCTAACATCGTAGTTATTTACGAGAGGAGACTTGGCGAGAAAGAGCACGACAGGTGGCACTAAGTGAAGGAAGGAAGTCTGTTGTAAAAGTAAATACGATTAAAACGTTTAAATAATAAATCTGTAGATAAAGAAACGTTTATTTGAGCGTTAAGAATGACGAGTTCTGAAGCTGCTCGCTCACATAAAACGGGGATGCGGACTTTAACGTCGTTGTAAAGACGGTCAACCAAGACAAAAAGGCAAAGTGTCGAAGGAAGTAAAAAGTAATGTATAGGAGTTTATCGATAATAAAGTTTATAATGATAGTTTGGACAATTGAAAACGTCTAACACTCAAAAACATATTCTTTAACACTGACATGGATAGAGATAATGCCGATAAACCAGATATAAAATGTCTAAGATTTTAATGTTCCTGCTCCCTGCAAATCAATATCAATGCTTGACAGATACTAAATTTAGGAGCGTTATCTTAAATTATCTTCAGTTTTATTGTATTCGAACTTTATCAAAATTCATTAAGAGGCAGTTTTGTCTCCTCCTCATACCTCCATCCTTCATTAGTCACATAAGAGTCATGTAACTCAGTTCAATGTGATGTGACATGCTGTAATCTTATGGGTATTTTGTACATAGCCAATATCAAATTGTAGTTCATGTATTGTATTACTGGTAGCATGACAGTAGCTTGTCTGGTCGTAAAACCGATATCGTAAATGAAGATGCTAGAGTGATGACAGTGAATCAGGATGGGATGAACTTGTAAATATTATATTTCATCAACAAAACAGTTGCAAGTGAAAATAATTCGATTATTTCATATTTCATCTTAGCATATATGTACAAAGAATTGTAATCATAAATACCTTATGTTTTTGTATAACACCAAGAAATGTTTCGGGATCGAATTTAGGAAGAGTGACGAGTTTGACGCCTTGACAAACCGCTCCAAACTGAATCACTACCAAACCATAGATGTGGTAAAACGGAAGTATACCTATCAAAGACTCCCGGTTAGGGTCCAGATCCATCTGACCTCTACAAAAAACGTGGAATCAAATCATCTCACTGTTTTGAGTGTGGTCATTGGAGAAGGAAACCAGCTTTTTCTAATGGCAATGCGATAGGTTAAAATAAACGTGAAGAAAGTAAACCAGCAGTAAACTTTAAGTAAAAATTAGGCAATGTGTGTGGTCAATACTGTTTGTTTTCGGAAAAAAATCAAGAAAACACCAAATGCCAACGTAATCGTCATCCAAAATCAAATGCCATAAAACTAGGGCAAAATATAAACAAAAGAATTTTTACACAGAAACTCCTGCAGAGAGTACAAGGAGAATACAACTAGGTGTTCTGGAAGAGTAAGCGTCTTCTGCTTCATCACCGACACCCATCGTGTAAATCTTAGAAATGTCATGTTTTCAAATGAAAATATAGTATACAACAACGGAACCAACAGGCAAATTAACAAGCATCGAAACACGTCCAGCTTCATATCGCTAAAAGAAATCGGTTATTTCTCAACGAGGTCTCTATTATCCATTATTTTAATCAACCTTCATCTATTAAAACCCTTTGTTACAAGCTTATCCGTCAGTTGACGATTTCTTGCATGAAAATCGTACTAATGGGAACAGACCCTCAAATATCGTAACAACTGCGACATGTCATAATCATAGGTTGGGAAAACAGGATATTGCTTTCCAGAAATGCCTATTCACAATATGGAAATTGAAATCAACACGTTTTTCATTCAGTTTGGGGGAAATCTGTCCATGTTAGATGGCAGCTTATGTAGAAGAGTCTGTCGTGTCCTTGATTTTCATTTCTGTTGGGTTTATAGGATGGACGTGGTCAATATTTGAAATATCAAAACACTAATTTTAAAAATTATGCAGAATCAAGACATCCTCGTGCAATAACGAAGTGCATTTGTGTCATAACATCAATAGGATGAGTGAAGAGGAGGAAAAGAGAATCGGTAATTTGAACTCAGGTGGGTAGAGATACATTAATATACGTATGTAATGTCTTAGACTGTACGTAAAGATTTATCATAATAAAAATATATCATACTTTTACATAAAAGATTGTGTTTACATTCTAAAACAAATGCGAGTAATACACAAAACGGAATTATCAAAGCCTATTTTAATATAATTTATAATCGGTTGATGACAAAATTACATATATTTCGAAACAAGTAATAGAACAAAATATTGTATACGCCATCGTGATTTCTTTACATTGGTTTAGTTTCGTTTTAAATTATCCTATCTAAGATCTTGGGTTATAGAAACCTTCCACAATAGTATACCCATAACTCTAAAGTAACAGGGGAAAAGGGATTACTCTCTTGGTATCATATTGGCTTGGTGTTTGGAATCACTTCAAAGTAAAGCCTGAGAGTTAAAGTTAACATAAATATTTATTTTGCTAATTGATAGCCATGAAATCTGGATTAAACACTTACTTAATCATCTGTTCAATGTTTGCTATTATGTTTTTATGAGTCAGCATGACACCCTTAGGTAATCCCGTAGTCCCGCTGGAGTAGGGCAGAAACAAGACATCCTTATCTGGATCTATGTCTACGTTATCAGGAAACCCCTTTCCGTCATCCTCCAGTAAATCAGAAAATGGTATGCAACCTTCCGTTTGTCCGCCAATAGTGATAATCCACTACAATAAAAGGAAGTTTTGGTTTAAAATTAAGATTGTGTTTGAATCATCATGTCCAATATGGGTTAACTTTATGGAATGCGTGTATGCAATCAGTTATCAATGGCGGGCTTTCCAGCAATGCTAATTTTCCCATAGAGGTTGGCCTACAGATTTTTTCACACTTCGACACTATTTACCGATACATTGCCGATTGTCACAAAACAGATAAAAAATAACTAAACTAAAAATCTAAATACCAAAACCCTAAAACAGTAAGTATACCGCCGATATTATTAATGTTTTAAGCATTTTGTGAGAAAAATGACAACCTTTTGTGAACATATCGCATTTTGAATGTCTTCCATATTCAGTCCATTCAAAATTATTTACCACAAAAATAGCTTTATCTTTTACCCTTACCCTGCCCGAAGATTGAAACTTCACCATTTGTGAAAAATATTGATCTTTGACTTTGATTTTGGCAATGACTTGTTGAACGACAGTAGACTTAGGCGACCACTCTGTTACACCCCAAACCTTCATGTACACATGTGCTTTTCCTAATACATAGGACGGAGACTTTAAACATTTAATACAGTACCGCCCTTACAATGAAAGGTATATGTGTAGGTGCGGGTTGTAAAATTGTCTTTAGGAGAGACATAAAGATCATGATATCTGCTAGAAATATGAGACTTTCCCAGCACAGTTGGTTGTTTGATGTTTTAAACGCAGATAACAATAATTTTACTGATGATCAAGAGATTGGTATGTATGATAAGCGTTTTAAGAATTATCAGAAAAGAAAACCACAACCTGAAGGTTCAAACGCTGGTGTTTTTGATGATACGTGGCGAAACATTCCACTGTTATCCATAGAGGATCTATTTTATGGCCGATTTTCCCGCGCAAAATGCATGTTATTTATAAAGAGTTTCAATCAAAGCTCGACCATATTGCCCAAGAGAAATATTGACTTTCCAGCAACCTTCAAGATCAAAGGAACTCATCAATGATCTTTTGGAGATATCACATATGTAAAGTACAATGATTGGATACAGCATGATAACTCCGACGCCATTAATCCCATAAAGGATCATTATTGTCAGTGTCCAATTGGGTTATTAGTGAAGATGAAAGTCCCTTTGTACTAATAAACCAAGGGTAAACATCTTATTTCAGTTCAGTTAACAATTCTTAAATCTAAACAAGGTTTCCCCTTTCCAATTCTTTTCTTAAAAAAAAATTGGAATATTGTAAATCAATTTAATATATTTGCACAAAACTCCTGATTACTATTTTTGGGCAATTTATTTTATACCGTTTGAAGATGTTTGTAAGCATATAATTACGAATTAACTCCAATTGGAAGCTGTATTTTGACCTTCAGAAATTTTCGCTTAATGTAAAAAGAGCATGTTCTTGCACAAAATTTTATCTCGTGTTCCCAATGTCTTCGAAACTGTGACTTCTTGTTTTGCATATATGATATCTAACATGTTATTATCAGCATGGTCATGTCCAGTTTTCATACATATTTTTCTCGTTTTTGGCACAGAAAGGGTGCTATATTCTTGTGTATGTACATGTTTGGAATTAAATGCCTATTTATAAACGTACGATTTCAGAGGTTAGCAATTACACATCCACGTTGGTGTATTTGCTTCTTAAAATATTTTGAAACTTTTACAAATATAAAGTTCACAAAATCGCTCTTTTTTATATTGAAGAAGGATTTTTAAAAGTTTTAATAATGTCAAAATGGTACGTAATATTCCAAATTATACATTGATATGCTTGATATTTGTTTTGTTTTTCAGAGGTTGAACGTCCCAGCAGCAGCTAGGGTCTCATGAGACGTAATTCTGTCTCGCGATACGCTATAACAAGTGTCGTTCCTACATTATCATCGGTAGCATTATATAGTTTAACTCCTCTTTCGCTGGTGATAATTACACCCAGTTTGTGGTTTAAGTTACATTAACTGAAAGTGTATTAGAAATATGATGCGTTTCTACTAACTTTGACAGAGTTGGTCTGCTCCTTGGACGAGATGACTGCTTCTTTTGCTGTGGGTACCAACCCTGGCATAGTTACAATAGCCTTTGTCGTAGAATGACCTAGTTGTCGTGCCAACTCACCTGAAAATATGATGCAGATATGGAGAAAGCACAATGAAACTTACACAAACCTTACTAGCTGCTTTTGTATAAACACATGCTTTTTTTCTTCATTTGTTTTTCAATACATTTCAACTTTTCAATATTGGCAGTGTTCTGGTTGACAACACCTTTATCGCGCTTGGTGGTAAGATCTTCCAACAAACTATTAGCATACCTATGGTTACCACCTTCGCCCTCTGTTGGGCGGCTTGTTTTTGTTTTCATACAAGGCTGAATTTATTGAAGAGTTTCTTAATACAGGACACAAAGACCCTGCAAAGTTGTTTAAGTTTACCTATATCGATAACGTCTTGTCTTTAAATAGCAAGAAATTTATTGACTACATGCATCGTATATATCCACTATAACTGGAAATCAAAGATACTCTTCTACATCGGCTGCTTATCGTGGTCTTTTCCTACAATGAAACCGCATGGACAGCTTTCCAACATGCTGTATGATATACTTGATGATTTCAATTTCCCTATTGTGAATTTTCCATTTCTGGATAGCAATACCCCTCTATCTCCAACCTGTAGTATTTACATGCCACAGTTGATTTGACATTTAAGGGCCTGTTTCCATTATCACGATTTCAGTGCAAGAAGTCGTCAACTGACTGACAAACTCGTAACACAAGGGTTAAAATACTACAGGTTGACAAAAATTATGGGGAAGTTTTATGGCCACCATAGAGATCTCATCGAGAAATATTCTATTCCTTTGTGTGAGATGAAGCTGGATGTATTTGATGATCGTTAGTTTACCGATTGGTTTCTTTGTATACCTTGTTCTCATTGGAGAATGTGATAAAACTTACTTGGATTGACCTAGGTTTACATGGCTGGTGTCGTTGATGAAGAAAAATCACTCTTCCGCAACATTTGGTCTTATTCTTCAAGTACATTTACTTTTTCAGGAGTTTCCGTGTAAATATTTTGCCTTAGTTTTGTGGAATTTGAGTTTGGATTATGATTATGTTGTTCATATAGTACGTGGCAAGGAGTATTGGGGAAAAGACAAACTTCATGTCGCCAAATCACCGACGTTGATCGTGTGACAACGATAGGGCAACAATAGGAATCGTCACGGTGATGCGTAACGTAACCAACAATTCAACAACTTATACAAACCTGCTGTATATACGGGATTAGCGGTACTGATGACTAGTCCAAGGGCAGCACAAGCTAGAGTAATGACCGTGTATTCGGGAGAGTTACTACTGAACACAAGCACAGTGTCTCCCTGTCGCAATCCCAGTCGTCTAAGACCACTGGCAACACGGATGGCTGACTCTTTTACAGATGATGACGTGAACGACCGATTCGTCAAATAGTCCACCTGCGATTTTAAAAAACAATTGTTCATCTGCACTTACAACGTCTACAACAGAAAATATTCAGTGGCGGATAAAAACTCCATAAGGTACAAATAAAAGAGAATTAGAGTATTAACTTTCATAAATTACACCAATTAAATAATTTCTTAATTTTTAGTTATTTTTTTAAATTCTAGATTGAGATTTCACTTGACTTTAACAAAAGGGGGTCAGTAACGTATACTTAATGACACTTTGGTATCCTAAACAATCACTATCTTTTGGAACATGTGAAATAGAACATATGTATGACATGTTCTTGACCAAGTGTAAACAAGGTTTCCTACGTTTGATTAGAATAGCACAGAGTCATACGTATGCAAAATTGTTTGGAAATGTAGAATCTACGCTGTGCTTACTTGTATATATAAGATATAAATATCTACATTTGTGAAGGAAGCAATTGTTATATATTCTGTGCACGAAGCTATAAATTGTTGACGTTCATGAAACCATAGAAGACATGCATATAAGATCATCTGTATTTTACAAGTACATGTAAATCAAGGGCATATTGCGAAATGATAATCTCTCACCAACACTACTGCGTCCTTGTGCTGGTCCAGGTATTGGAAGACATACTCAGCGAAGGAACATGAAGGTATGGTTACATCTGGATAGGGACTATTTACAAGAGTACCTTCCGAAGACTGTTCTAAAATGGCATTTTGAACCACAGAGAGATGAAGCGACCGACTGACTGATATTTCTTGTCTTCTTCCTCCTCCTCTTTGTTGCTGGCATCCTATATTAGATGGTGAATTAGGTTGGTGAATATTCCCGTTTGATGAAAGGACATAGGCACGACTTAATACCTGTCTTTGAACCGATCGCTGTGAAATAATCGGACATCTCTTCAAAAGAGTTTTTATCACATAATTCGACATTTCAACACGTTCCAAATTTTTTCACGCTATTTCCATTGAATACCCCTGAAAAGAAATTAAATGTATATTGTGAAAATGACTAGATCAACCCTCGTATCTGAAGTTTATGATCTGTCACTAATAATAAAATCGATATCTAACACAGATCTCATACATTGCATGTTTTGCATATGTAACATAGAAAACAAACACTCGGGTGATTTCTTATATGGATATCGAACTGACGATGTAGCCCAGTTGTAACATATCATATCCCTTATCCCTGTTTTACCAACCTTACACCCGTTACTGCATTTAGGAGCAGTAACATTTTTCTATATCCCGTTTACATAAATATACTTAAAGTTTACGCAAGAAATATTGTCAGTGAGTCAAGATAAAAAAATCAGCTGCTGATCGACAGTCTGCGACCCACTAACATTTGTAACTTTCCTACTACTGGTGAACAATTATCTCGAGACACAAGCTATAGATAGGACAAAATAAGGTGTTAAGGAAGAGGCCTACATTTATTTCACATTCAAATTTTAAATGAGCACTCCACAGCATTACATAACTAAACGCATGTTTACTTATGTAATAATGTTAATGCGGTCTTCTATCGTTACCCTCCGGGAAAGATTACACAAACTATAGTTACCTTGAAGCGTATTCTTCTCCACTGCACCGTGATGTTTACACCTAGGTAGATAGTCGGGTATGGAGCGCCGTAGATGCCTTAGGAAGCTATCTCTGTCGACATAAGATCAGTGTCGGTATCCGTTCAGTGACCTATGCATTGATATATGAGTAATGGAATAAAACCCTTCTGAATGACATTAACCTGTTTAATAGTAGTGTTGTCTTTACGGTCACAGATTAGGAGAAATCACACATAAAACATTATCTTCTGTGGGATTTGCATGTTCAAATTACCAGTGTGGTTTTAGCTGTTTTTACAAAAATTCTTTTACAAGGCGCTAGGAGAGCATCATGGCCGTGTTGTGGTAGCTGGGCATTCCATCCAACATGTATACACTATATCCGTGTTTTCTTTTTCACTACCGATCTGTTTTTTTTTTTTTTTTTTAATTTTAGCACAATAAATAAATAGCAACCACAATCTTTACTCAAACAAAATCAAAGATGGCTGCCTGTCGGCCATTTTGTTTTTCTGATCATTAAACCGAGAAAGTTCTTTACAGAAGTTCTCAAGAAATAGTGATAACAAACTTTCAAAGTCAAAATCAAAGATGTCCGTTTGTCGGCCATTTTGTTTTTCTGATCAGTACCAAAACTAAACTGGAACAACTAGAGACCAAGGGGAACCTACATATGAAATTCAAGAAAGATCCATTTTAGTACTTCTCAAGAAACAGCAATAACAAACTTTCAAAGTAAAAAATCCAAGATGGCCGCCTTTCGGCCATTTTGTCTTTCTGATCAGTTCCAAAATTACATTGGCACAACTAGAGACCAAAGGGAGAATACATATAAAATTTTAGATATTTCCATTTCTTGCTTTTCAAGAAATAGCGATAACAAACTTCATTGAAAAAATTCAAGATGGCTGCCTGTCAGACACTTCATTTTTTTTTATCAGTCATCAAATCGAACAAGCACAACTAGGGACCAAGGGGGACCTGCATATGTAATTTGAGAAAGATTCATCCAGGATTTCTCAAGAAATAGCGATAACAAAAATTGTTTACGGACGGGCGGACGATGGACGACGGAAGCAGAGCGATCTAAAAATATCTCCGTAATTTTGGCCATGTTTCGTTTCGTTTTCTGACAGTCTCTAGAACAAGTATTTGTACAGACCGATGTCAAACATCATCTCAACATATTTCTTGGAGAATGGCCAGCAAAAGTAGCGTTAGTTCAGTTTTCTTTTTATAGTTTGCTTAAAAATATATATTACATCAAAAACATATCTTGATTCTGATTCTGCTTTGCCATAAATACTAAATATTTATATAAATATACTAGAGAAAACACACATTGAATGGTGAATGAAAGTGGACATCAAACAGATACAATAAATAAAGAGACAACAAAAACATGATGAACACATGCAAACCTGTTGCACGGGTCAAGAAAAAAGTAAGCAGAAATTATCTGAAAAAATATCCCACCTACCGGCCGTAATTGTTTATTTTCATATATATATATATATGTACAGGTATGTCTTAGAATACCACTGCCGTATGAAAACATACAGTAAATACGCTACCGTGGCAATATTTTACAACAAAGTCATTAGAACATAGATATGTGGAGTCATGGTGTTGTAACCGGCGTGATATTCTGCTTTGGTTAAGGCTGTGTCACTGAAGGTCGTGTAACTGAAGGATAACTGGGCACAAACATGTACTTGACACACTAACTTGTACTACTGTCCTCCTGCTGGAGCTCGCCGCTGAATTATCTAGCCTCTGTTGATCTTGTAGATTGGACACACATTTAAGATATATATATATACAAACATACCTGTATATATGTAACTGTTGACTACTCTTGTTTCACATACCATCTTCCATTGTTTAACACACTGTAATTAACTCAGATCTTCTACATTAGGATGCACCTGTGTAATCCGTAGGTAATCAACCTTGCAGAATGTCCCATACACTGTAGGTAATTTACCTTGCAGAATGTCCCATACACGTTGACTGAAGTAGACTAAGGTCAATGTATGGAACGTCATAGCTGCCTTTCTATTGTTGTTCCAACGGCCACTGTAGGGGATCCGTTCTGATATCCAGTTTCGATCATTTTCTACTCTATCCAGAGGGCTGTAAAACGCGATTTCTATCATTGATTTTCTCATTGGGACTTTTCATCATTTGAAGGTCTTTTTTATTTGATGAAGAGACCTACTGGTTTTGTTGTTTGTTATTACTACTCTTTGTCTTCTTATGTATTTTGTGACCGCCTAATATTTCAAATGATAAAAGAGTTGATTTCAGTCCGCAAATTATCAGATAGGACATGGAGTAACGGTGTCATAGCACCGCTTTCGGAGTAGGTTATAATTTAATGTGGTCGCCATGACGTCGTAGGTCAAAATCTAAAACAAGGCTATAACTCGGAAACCGCATAGTGTGATATACAGTAGTTATGTACCGTGTTAAAAATCTCAAGTTCGAATGACTTCTTTTCAATAACAATGAGACACAAAGTGTTGATATTTGGTCATCAGTACTTTAATATTGAGCATGTTTCGAATATTTTTATCATTTAACGAGCTTTCCAAACCCGCTTATCTGTAATTCCTGTTTTTGATGATCTGCACCGCCTTAATATGGTCGGAATTTCGGTAGTGTCATTCCGTCAGAATTTTGTTCACTCTTTAAAGAATGAAGATGTTAAGCCCACAATATATACATCTAGCATATTTACGTGATTCAGACAGTTTGTGAGAAAACTGCCAATTGATAATTATGCAAATATAACATTAACCCATACTTAGGATGAGTAGAAACTATTTAGAAACATTTTTAGGATATCAAAACAAAAATTAATAAAACTTAACTTAAATGATATTCCTCTTGACGAAATTACCTTTCGCATCAATGACCAGTTATTTTTTAGAAACACTTATGATGGAACGCAGGGGTAAAACTATTTCTTATTCAACTTATAAAAAAAGAAAGTCTGATGAAAGAGAGAGAATTTTAATAAATAAAATTAGGAACTTAGAGAAAACAGGGCCGGATACCATTTTTTTAATGAACTTGGGGATAAAAAAGACAATTAGAAGAAATAAGAAAACACAAAATTTCAGGCAATATGATACGCTCGCGGGCAAAATGGATTGGGGAAGGAGAAAAACCCACTAGATATTTCTGTGGTCTAGAGTCAAGAAATTGTACTTGTAAAATTATTCCAAGTATTGATAAAGATGATGGAAAGGTCAAACTGAAATTCTTAAAGAAACTGAAAATTATTATAAATCATTATATAAAGAAAATAGATCATTACAAAACGTTAACCTGGAGCTTCTTTTGGAATCCTACAATATACCTAAACTGTCTCCGCAGGAATCTTTGAATATCGACCGTCCAATTACACTTATTGAATTATCAAATACTCTTTTGAAAATGAAAAATAATAAAAGCCCAGGTTCTGATGGTTTCACTGTTGAGTTTTTAAAAATGTTTTGGCAAAATTTAGGGCACTTGATTTTAAGATCATTTAACTATAGCCTCAGTATTTCAGAACTTTCAATAACACAGAAACAAGGTATAATAACTTGTATTCCTCAAGGTAATAAACCACGTAATAAATAAACTAACTGGCGACCTATACCTTTATTGAACACTATCTACAAACTTGCTTCTGGTACAATTGCTGAGAGATTCAAAACTGTTATAAGTAAATTAGTAAGTAATAACCAAACCGGTTTTATTCCTGGCAGATATATTGGTGAAAATACACGGTTGATTTATGATGTAATGTAATACATTGAAGACAACAATATTCCTGGCCTTTTACTTTTAATTGATTTCGGAAAAGTATTTGACTCTGTATCCAGGAATTTCATTACAAAGACTTTGAATTTTTTTTAAAATTTGGCCCTAACATGATTAAATGGATTAAACTTTTTCAGAATAATAAATAAAATTTCTTCAACATTGAACGCGGTTGTCGTCAGGGGGATCCGGTTTCACCTTATATTTTTATTTTGTGTGCAGAGATTTTATCAATAATTTTAAGAAATAACTCTAACATCAACGGAATTACTGTAAGAGAAAAAGAAATACTTCTATCACAGTTTGCTGATGACACCTCTGTTATATTGGATGGATTCAAAAAGTCTTTAGATGATCATGAAACATAAAACAGTCTTACATTCTTTGCAAATATTTCAGGTTTAAAAATGAACTTCTCCAAGACTCAGGGAGTATGGATTGGCAGCAAAAAATACAGTGAAGATACTTATAATACCAATTTAAACTTAAAATGGGGGTGTACTAACTTTAATCTTTAGGGCATAGAATATGATGTAGATTTAC